TTTAACCTTGAAATAAAACCAAAAAAAATCTGACAAATAAAATCGGTCACATATGAATCAAGACTTCAGGTTCCGATTCAGAAGCAGAGTTACACTGCTAAGTGTGTCGTCGCTACACTCAGCTAGCCTACCCTTATGGAAATTGGTGCAAGCTTGTGCTGCAAGCTTGTTCTACTAGCTTGTTCTAAACTCATTCAACTAGCTTGCTGCAAGCTTGCCATGAGTGTGTTACTAGCTTGCACTGCTCCAAAAATGCAAATGAGATTATCTATCAGCCAATCAGGACAGAGGAAATATATTTGCAGGTCAATTATTATATGTGTATATATATGACCATACAATGATTCTCTGTTTCAGACCTCATCAGCAGAGAATCGAGGTTTTGAGATACTTATTTTACATTAACAGTGTGCATACAAAATTCATTAAATGCAAAACAGTATATGATGCACCACGCGTTACCCCGGGGTACCGTAGTACCCCGGGATACCGCGTTGTGTAGCGCCATCTCGCGTCCACTCGAGTACAATGTATGGAGTGCGTGTACATAGTTCCGTGGTATCTCTATGGTGTATACTATGCATGGTGTGCATGCATGCACTGCTCGCGCTATAGCGCTCGCTCACGATCACAAGCGCACTACGGTGGCTATCGCAAACTATAGTGCTAGCTAGCTAGCTCCGGCGTCCAGTCCCTCCCGACCCGCGGCTATTTTAGAACTTGATGTTATTGCACGTACGTACCGTACCTGTATACTCTTTCGAAAAAACAAAAACAAACAAACATCGCATCATCGACATAGTTAACGCGCGCGTTACTGTCAAACTTTCAAACTTTGAAAATGCCATGGGTGGAAGGTGATGGTGGATACGGGGATTTACTGAAAGGGAAAGGACGTAAAAGACGGAAGATTACAAGGGCCGAGAAAGTTGAAAGAGCTCGATCCCGTGCTGTAGAGAAGTTGGGGGAGGAGAAGGCCGCTGATGTGGTGATCTGTACACAGATAGCATCATAACACAAAATAGAACTTTCATTTATAATTAATAATTTTAATTATACCACAATAATAATACAGGGTGTATCATAACAGCATGAAATGATATCAATAATAGAATAATTACTCATAACAATGAATTTTAGAAATACAGGACTTAAAGGCACACTGCCATACTTGTAGCTACTTGCTCCCTCTATATAGAAAACTTCCCCAATCGGTGCCTGTTGGTCCCCCATGATCCTCTTTTTCTTATGTTAAATGAGAGCTGAGTTAATGAGATAGCCACCTGTCACAGTGACCTCGATGGCTCTCTGTGTGGTCTAATCCCTTCTGGCCCAGTAGTGGTGACGGTCTTTAAAGGATTTTTTACAAGAACATTGGACACAATTGAAGGTTGAAAAAAATCACACAAAAATAATTTCCCACTTTTTGGTAACCCAGGGTACAGCCTTAAAAAAAAAAATAATAATTCAACAAAATGGCCGAATTTTTTTTGGTACCCCAGGGTACCATTTATGTCATCATATGCTCCTGAGAAGATACTTGTGCAAATGCAGGCAAGAACTGCATGTATAGAAAAAGTTACTAGAACTAGTAGCTGGCTGCAGGATATGATTCTGGAAGCGATAAAAGGTCTGCTCACTGAAGCAGGCTTATTTCAGGTTGAACATGATCTTCAGCATTTCGGAGCAACTTCCTCCTGCAAATAGTGTGGCTGCTGACAGGAGAATGTTCCCAGCTGGGGTGCTACCATACCACGGCTGACTAATCCAAGTGCATTTCGTAGCTGAACAACTCAAACACTCTTGGCTGATAACAACCAGGGTTCCTTTCATCCACTTTTGGATGTCTACATTGCCAGATCCATAAGACGGGCATCTTTGGAATAGTTTCATGAGTTGTGTCTCAAAGACGATGTATTTGTTGTCCAAGTGGGGCAAAACACTTGACCTCTCGACCTGTAAAGTGTTTTAAAAACAGGATATTACATGTAAAATTCATCTGGACGTACTTGAAGGTCATCAATGTTCTTGACATTTCCAATGACTTTCAGGGGGGTCTCCTCCTTTTCCATCCATGGCAAACAGCACCTTGGAAATTCTTGCCACTTGCATTGCTGCGTCAGGTAATCGATAAAATTATGATGTATGTTCAGGTCATGGCCAAGGTACTTTATTTATTCTGTTTTATTTAAACAGGGTTGCCCTGTCAGAAATCACAGTACTGTTTTCCAGGGGCCCTGTAAACAAATGCAACATATATGAAGATGCAAACTACTTGAACAATATAAACATCATCGAAACCTCAATACATAGTAACAATACATGGTACTTCACAAGAACATCCATCTCATTTTCTTGGAGGTTCATCAGCTGAGTATTCGTTGCAATATGCGGGTTGACCTCAGTAGTGCTGGACACTTTGCTCCACATTTCGTGGAATGGTCTCTGAGGGTGTCACTCCCTTGAATATGTGAAGTGCTATCTAGCTGTGGTACGGCACAGAAGTACTTGTTCATGGGGTTTACTCCTCCAACAGTAATAAGAAAACTCTTTGATGTGTGCACAGACATGAATGAGCTTCTCAAGAAGTAACAAAATTAGCCGTTTAAAATCAACGTGAAACAAATTGGAAAGGCTTATTTTGTTTCGTTTGGGTTTTTTTATACTAAAAAGGGCATTTTTTCTTTCCTTTCTTTTGTTAAGCTTTGGAGGCCCTTATCTGTTGAAAAAAAGATGGGTAAACATATGCATAAGAATACATTTCCTAAACGCCTAATTTACTATTGGTAGATGATAGATCAGAGGCACTGATGTTACAATGGTGTGAACTGTATGGCTAAATGTTACCTTAAAGGGCTAATTGTACATTGCTTTACAGCTCACACATTCATTACAGTTCAGTCATTTTCCTTTTTTTCCCCGTAACTGTGGGGATTATGTTATACACTTTATATTTTACACATTTCCATGTTCTCTTGTTAAAAACAGGTTGACACCGCCACCGCCACCGCTTGATACAATCCTCACAGGCTCTTTTGTCTATTCTTTTTCTATTTTGTCTATTAATATCATAGTGTACAAACCTTAACAAGTCTGGCCAGTACACATGCATGTTTATGTGCAAATGTACACATCTTGAGGCAACTGGAACAGCACATGCACGGTGCCTTCTCAGTGCACTTGTGAGAGGCACGTTCCCTCTTCTCCAAGTCAGGTGTGCCAGGAATCTTGAAAATGTCCAAGATGGTATCACGAGCACACTTCTCTTGGTTCACCATCACCTTCATGGTACTATCTTTGCATTGCTGGAGGGATCTCTTGTATGCGTACAGTATAGCCAGTCCTCTGTCAAGATTCCGGGTGCACCTATCAACTCCCTGCCAGTATGAGAGGGCACTCTCTACCCCCCCCCCCCCCCCCCCCAGTTGACGACGACTTGAACGTCCGGAACATGTACACTGAGACTCAGGGCAAGCGTCGTTACAATAACTCTGGTGCAGCTTGAACTGCTACAAAAATCAGTGATGATCATGTCTGACTTCTTGTTAGTTGTGTGGCTATGGTACTGTTCTATTAGCCTGAAAGTTTGATAAGCTAGAATGGGTACAAATGTGTACTTGAATAACTTGAAAGACACAGATAACCAACCTATTCTTCAAACAGCGACTCCTACTTTCCCTAGTTCAAACTTGTCTCCCCGGGCTTTCACGAAACGGAAAACAAGCAGGTGTCCACGATGGAGTAGTTTTTTTCCTTCAATTTCCTTTGTTGCTGCGTTTACAGCATACTGTTGCAGGCACCTTCTTTCATGTATTCATATCTGTATAGTGCTCTCCACAGGTGGTAATCCAGTCCATCTGAAAAGAAAAGAGATTTTCACAGCTGATTGGGCATCAGATGCCACATTTCTAGGGCCTAATTAGTTTTTTCGCAAAGTCAGTGTAGCAGGAGACAGTTAAAGCCATTTTGTCCGACTTGATCAATCTACCAATACTGTCACTGGATCCTTCAGATAATATCTCACTTAATTCCTGGGAAACTTCAGGAGGGACAGGAAGCATAGTACGACTCTGTTTCACCACTCTGTGCCTCCTTTTTGTTTGAGGTTGTTCTTCTTTGCTGTCAGCAGGTTTCAATTGACATTTATGCTGTCACCTTAGTCACTGCATTAACTACTCATGATAACAAAACATATCTCTAAAAAATCTGTTCATTCAACCACTTTCACAGCAACAACCAGATTGCCTTCGCCAAATTTGTATGCTATTTCTTTGGACAAAAGGCCTCCGAGCTCCACTACAAGATCTTCTGGAATTTGTACGCATCTGCTCCCGTCAAGCACGACATCTAAATGATTCCTGCATATCATATGCATCATATGAAAAAGAATAAACTATAACAAGTATATAGAAGAGAAGTAGCATTTTTATTCATTTTGAATAAATTTGCTGTACTCAAGAACCAGTTGTGCAAGTTCACGGACATGATTTCTGAACTCTAGCATCGGAATTTGAGCGCTTGTTGTCTGAAATGAAAGTAGTAACATTGATCAGGACAAATAATGTTTTCTAGATGAGGTATTATACAAATACAACATGATATAGAGGAAAGTAGTGAAAATGACTGATCCCGAGGTGTTGGATGCGTGTGACTACTTCCCGACGCAAAGTGGAGGGAAATAGTCGCAGGCGTCCAACACCGAGGGATCAGGAATTTGCAATACTTCCCGAAATAAGCCATGTTGTATTTGTTTTACTATACCTCATAAATATTTCAGTGAATGTAGAGTTAACACATGAAAAAAATCACGCCAAAATATGCATTATTCTCGATCACCGTATGAATTTCCAACTGATAAGTGATATGATTACGGGGGTGCGGTAGTTTTTCAATTTTTTCCCTGCAAGGGCGTTACGTGTACTTGGGGGGAAGCAGGCAAAATACTGTCATGCGCATCAGGTTTTACTGAGCATTGCACTTAGTGTTTTCTGAATAAATATTCATGAGGTATAGTAATAGACATCGCTAAGGGCTCTTATCACAATTACAAAGTGCTCCTTCCCACAGGAATCCTGCAGGAACCCTGGCTCAGTGAGCGCCCCCAGATTAGACCCAGGAAGGAGCAGGTACTTGACAACAATAGTGTGTGACCCATGGTTTTCAAGTAGTTTGATTTTAGAAGTCACTAAAACCTATAGAAACCAATACAACCACATTCAGTGAAGCAGTTAAATATCAATAAGGAGTGCTCCCTTAATGAATGGGATTTTAATGAGACAGGATTTTTAAGTAGACAGGACTTTTTAAGGGCCCTAAAGGAATAAATCAGTTGATGCACTGAGAAGTTATGACATGATGAAATCAAGTAAATAGTCATGATGATTGTTAATGACTCTGTTTTCTGTCACTCTAAACAATTTAGTTTGGATGTAGAGGTTGGTGGTTTGATATTATGTGGTTGAAAACAAATTGCATAGACTGTCACTTACCTTCATTGCATGTTCTGAGAGGAAGAGTCTTGAAAAGGATGCAGAGGTGAATGGAGAGTTGCTTATATTAGCCTCTGTGGATGTAATGTGGCATTGTATCACTCGCTTCGCTATGTCCTGGGTGACGGTAGCTGGGCGTTGAGTGTTGACGTTATGTTGGCTGTCACAAAAGTCTGCTCCACAACCGATGATAACATTAGCTTTGGTGACAGTAAGTGTGGCTTGGTTGATGTAAAGAGGTCTTGGGATGAGTTTATCTGAGTACTCTGCGACAAATGGTCTTGTGATGTGGTAGATAACTGTAGGTATTATGGGCAGAAGTGGCTGGTCGAGCTTTATGATGGGAACGTGGTTCAGCATGGTGTTATATTCAGCCTCAAATAACCCAACGGTTGCTCCAATCCAAGTGTAGTTCTGGATTTTGAAGAGTTGTCTTGTATCCATGGGTGTTTCGGTGAGGAGATAGAAGAGGTCACCTTCGGTGAGTTTTCTGAAAGATTGATACAGAGATATTTAGGTAGTGTGTGAAACTTATAGTGTTTGTAACTGTGACTACGTAATGTTACAATGTTGGTGGTATTTGAGATGGACAAGCATAGTAGAGGTGTCCTGTTGCAATAGGCCTCACAATTCTGGTTGATAAGTACTGTTTTGAGGGGAAGCCTGCTGACTGACATAAAAGATATGATTACAATTGGTTGGTAGTTGGAATGTTATGCCCGGGGGGGGGGGGGGGGGGGGGGGGGGCAGTGTCATTACAAGGTGTACACCATGCGCGTGTATGGACTTTCAAAATGGACCCTAAACACGTAATTGAAAGTCAATCTCAGGATACCCTAAACAAGTATTAAAGTTTGAAAAGATACCCTTTTGAAGTAAACATTCCGTTAAAAGTATACCCTTTTTTCGTGATTTTGGCGATTTTGATACCCTTTTCAATGTACGCGCGTACATCGTCCTACTATGAAAAACAACCGTTTTACGCGTTTTTTTTCACACGTGCATGGTGTACACATTGTAATGACACTGGCCCCCCCGGATGTTATGTTTTTACCTGAGGAGAACAAGCCGGTCATACTTTTTTTCTACTTTGGAAAATTTGTTGCCATCTTTTTGGAACTTCTTGGGCTTGGGTTTCTTCACTGAGAGCACTTGGGCTGTCAACCTTGTGTTCTCTGATGTGGTGGTCAAGACTTCTGATAATGTCACGTTAGTCACCGTGGGATGATTAAATATTGCCATGGCTGCATCAAGGTCCCCTGCTTCAAGGTATTGTGCTAGCATGGTGATATCTGGAATAAGAAAGAATGAAATCTATATATTACATCTTTCTGATATGAAGATTTGGGGGTATGAGTTACAGGTTAATGCTAGTGTTGGACAATAATTAAAAGATTAAGGTGTTAGCAAAATCAACAGGTACAATTACTTTGGCTACATGCAGTGTTTGTTGAAGGCATGCTGAAGGGATTTTAATGTAGGCCTACTGGTACATGTCTTGAACTGTTTTGATGTTGCACATAATTTTGTGTAATGTTCCTGTGCTTGGAGGATGACTGTTGTTGATGAAGGATTCTGGTGGTGAGAGGATGCATTACCCATACGGGGAATACATCCTCTCACCTACTGATTTTGATGTTGGAAGTGAATGTTGGGATAGTGTCTGTACTCACATTGGCTGGAGTTGTTCATGGGTGAAATTGTCCGAAGTCCTCCCAAATTAGATTTGGGTAGCGTTGACGCATGCGGTTGAAGACAATTAAGCCATTCGTGTAGATGGTGCGAGTGTTTGGAAGGGGATCTTGAGCGTTGAGTGTGTGCCATTGATATTCAAAGCTCTTCCTGGCAGTGATGTTTGCCTGATGGTCACCATTCTCTGGAAATCGGTACACTAGCACAAAGCACATCCAAGGGCGAAGTTGGGGGTTGTTCGTAAAGTTCGAACCATGACCAGTGTTGTGTTGTTGGAGTCTGCGTTGGATACATGCTGTTTCACCAACATATGCAAAGTTGCGATGGGTGTTGCTCACCAACACGTAAACAAAGCCAATGCTGCTGTCAGGTAACTGTTGCATTCGAATTGTAGGGGGATAGGGGTCATGGGTATGTTGAATTGTGGCTGATGGGGTTGTATTGTCCAGTGCAGAGAGAATGTTTTTGATGTGGTGTAACCATTGTGGAGTATTCTGAAGCAGTTTCCTTATGCCCATGATGGTGTCATTGCGATCATGCGTCACAAATATTATGCTGTCCAAGTTTTTGACTCGACTGATGAGGACCAATAACTGGTCTCTTTCCCAAAGTCGGTACTTGCGTTGTTGACTTGAAATCTGAGTAGCAATTTGTGGACATGTCTCCCCGAGTGCCTTGTACACCGTGCTACAAACATAGTAGGTTACACGGAATTGGATGCGGCGTGCTTTAGTATGACCCTTCCCAACAATGACTAAGGGTGCCTGAGTTGGTGAAAGGGAGAATAACGGCCAGGGATGGTTATTTTGCACATGTTCTGGGATTTGCCGTACTCCCGGTGGGACAAGCATCAAAGCAGCTGTTCAGTTTCATTTGGCAAGTCCATAACAATACAGAGTTGACCTTGAGAGAAGCGAGGTAGTTGATTTGTTGCAACAGTATTGTTGTATGCCAGTCGAAGTAAATGGAAATGCCATGATTCTTTTAACATCAATTTCGTTTGAATGATGTGACTGGATGTAACGAGCAAATTTTGGAGTGTCTTTCTCGCAAAATACACAAAAATGCTGTTTGTCCCACTTCCTCCGAGGTTCGTTGTTTGCTGTTAGAACCTTTATACATGTATCCTCAGCTTTGTCTGTTATATCCTTTTCTTAATTTCCAGCGTTGTTTTCTGATCTACTCTGGATGTATGCAGTACGCGATATGGAATGACATCAGATTCACAATCATCATTGCTATCTTCACTGTCTTCACTCTTCGTCCATGTTGGGTCAGCGTCTTCATCATCAGCGTCTTCATCATCTCTTTCTTCCTATGGAAACAAATGAAACACAAAGTAAATACAAATGCAGCGATCAAGCTGATAATTGATGAAATCCAATAGCAGGGAAAAAATCAGTTTTAATGAAAAATGAGGAAATTAAATTTCCACATGTTTAATAAAATAGATACGCAAGTGCATATAAGGCATCTATGGTATTATAAACATTGTAACAATTCAATAGTAACACTTGTTTGCATAAATCTGTTAGATTACACTGCAATGCAACAATGAACTTGTTTCCATAAGTGTTTGAGGACATTACATGTACACTGCAAATTTGACATAGAAATTGTTTACATATTCAAGAGAGGACGTGCATGTTTTAATACTAAGCAATTGCAACACACTAATTGAGGATCTCTATACTTACAGAAAATGAATCATTATTGTTCTTTTCCTTTTCCAGACAGGGCTACAATACATGAGAGAAAGACATGAAACATTTCATCATTGCCATCTTTTTTTGTTTACCCCTTTTTGCAATGACGACCTTCGTCATTGCCTTGTTTTCGTTCACATTCTGCCCCATTAATATACTTATCCTTGTTTTCCTTATCCTTATCGTCAGGAAATCGCATTCGTTTTGCACGTAGTGTTTGTGATTCCTAGTTAGGTGCTTTCCTCATGTCCTTTTCCTTTCAAATTTCATAGGCATAGTCTCTAACATCTCATCAAGGTCACTACATTCTTCGATTTTCGAAATCACTCATGCATAACCATCCAGGCGCCATTTTGTCCGTTTCTGGTCCATTTTAAGGCCTTTCTTTCTTCCTTCCTATCTCCACTATCCTACATCCTACAACCTTCTAACAAATTCCTCTAGATAGTCTAAGAGATGTTTTTTAATCTGCGACGCATAACCCGCCCTTCAAAATGCCATCTTCGTACTCAAAATTCAAATCTGAAACCGACTACGTCAAAAATCTCTCAAAGTCTTGAAAAATTGACCCCTAGATAAACTAAAACTGCCATAACTCTCTCATATAAATTCCGTTTGGTATTTAAATCTCACAGTATCTTTATCTTATATTTGCACATAGCCTTGCCAAATTTCACGCTCCAATGGCTTTGCAAAACATAAATAGCGCCCTCTAAAGTTCTGGGAATTGGCTTTCTCTCTGTGGCCGTATCTCCATAATGGCTTGGCAAACCCGTACCCTTTTTTGGATTTAGATACTTGAAGATATGCCCTTTCCAGCCATATACAAAATTATATACCCTATCACTGACGAAATTTGAGAAAATTGCCCTCCAAATTCGCCATTTTCAAGAAAATTGAGAAATAACTTTAACTTGCTCTAAACCGGCGATCTTTATACCTACATCAAAGAAACTTGGCAGACACATGTATCCATATACGTGACAACTGTCTGCTAAGTTTAGTAAATTGTAATGCCCTCTTCGCCAAGTTATCGCCCAAAATGATGAATTTACTATGCTTTACGTACTAGCGCGTTTGATGCGTGCAGTACGTTTTGCGCAGATGACAATGGTTTCAAACTGACCGCACTGAAGTGCCCTTTCGAATGATACCAAGTATGGTATATGTTCACGCAGAAAATTGTGAGTAAATCGCATTTGAACAAGGGTCACTATACGAATTCCGCCGAGTTTCCGCCCTATTATAACACGTTTCGGCCATGACGTCATTTTTTGAGACTGTTATTTGGTTGTGTTAGTATGGGCGGCCCTCCGTGCCAAGGCACGCGTCGCAACATGTTCACCATGCACCAAGTCCTATTGGTTTTGCACGCAGTGCTTGCGAGCCCTTTCTAGATCCCTTCCACTACTCCAACTCCCTTCAAAATTCGTAGGCGTAGTCTCTAGCATTCCTTCAAGGTCACTAGATTCTTCGTTCTCCGGAAACCCTCATGCGTGACCGTCCAGGCACCATTTTTTCCGTTTCGGGCCCTTTTGATGACCTTTCTTTCGCCCTGACTATCTGCACTATCACAGAAGCTACAGACTTCTTACATATTGCTCTGGATAGTAACAGTCCGAGAGTAGCTCCTTCGTTTGACACGTAGAAACATGGCGTCATTGCACGCACATCGTTGTGACACGATTGCATTTCTAGTCTTTCCATTTATTTTCTTGTATTTTTAAAAAAAAATCTTTTTCTTTTCTTTTTCCTTTTTATATTTCACTTTGTCCCCGTTTTTGTTCCCTTTCTTTTCTGTTCTGCCCAAATACGTGAGTGCAAATAAGGCATCTACAGGTATCATAAACATTTTAACAATTCGATAGTAACACTTGTTTGCATAAATCTGTTAGATTACACTGCAATGCAACAATCAACTTGTTTCCATAAGTGTTTGAGAACATTACATGTACACTGCAAATTTGACATAGAAATTGTTTACATATTCAAGAGAAGACATGCATGTTTTAATACTAAGCAATTTCAACACACTAATTGAGGATCTCTATACTTACCGAAGATGGTATGTTCTTTTCCTTTTCCAGACTGGGCTACAATACATGAGAGAAAGACATGAAACATTTCATCATTGCCATTTTTTTGTTTTTACCCCTTTTCTTTCCATTTATTGTCTTGTATTTTTAAAACTTTCCTTTTCTTTCCTTTTCCCTTTTTATATTTCACTTTGTCCGCATTTTTGTTCCCTTTCTTTTCTGTTCTGCCCAAATACGTGAGTGCAAATAAGGCATCTACAGGTATCATAAACATTTTAACAATTCGATAGTAACACTTGTTTGCATAAATCTGTTAGATTACACTGCAATGCAACAATCAACTTGTTTCCATAAGTGTTTGAGAACATTACATGTACACTGCAAATTTGACATAGAAATTGTTTACATATTCAAGAGAAGACATGCATGTTTTAATACTAAGCAATTTCAACACACTAATTGAGGATCTCTATACTTACCGAAGATGGTATGTTCTTTTCCTTTTCCAGACTGGGCTACAATACATGAGAGAAAGACATGAAACATTTCATCATTGCCATTTTTTTTTTTTACCCCTTTTCTTTCCATTTATTGTCTTGTATTTTTAAAACTTTCCTTTTCTTTCCTTTTCCCTTTTTATATTTCACTTTGTCCGCATTTTCGTTCCTTTTCTTTTCTGTTCTGCCCGAATACGAGATTTTTTTTAAGGGGGGGGGTGTGAAGCTACATGCATGTATCACCCACCCCACCCTCCTGAAAAAAATATAAACTTAGAGCCACCTCCATGTGGAAAAGTTATTAAATTGTTTGTAATACCTGCTTTTCCTCCCACTTCCTGGAATAGTCTTCCTCACGGTCACAGTCATTTTTGAACGACAGTCCGCATTCTTCATGTGCCTAGAAGTCCCTTCCTTGATCTTCCTCTGTTGCCCATGCTGGCATCTAAATATTTTCTGTGATTAACAAACATTCAGTACAATTTATTGTGGCTGTATAAATTGCCCAAATCTTGTGTTGTAATTTGTTATTAAATAATAATAATAATAATAATAATAATAATAATAATAATACATAGAATTTGTATAGCGCACTTTCCATCTTATTTAGATGCTCAAGGTGAAGACTGGTGAAGACGTCTGTACGGAATGTTGCTGTTAAGGCAACACCATCCTCATTGTAGTCAGACTGAAGCAGATGATATCTATACTCCATAGGTAGAATCTCCTACAAATGGAAGCAAATTAGAAAATGTATTTGTGATGATCCAGGTGGAGATTGGTGTAATTTATAGATCTACTGTTTCATTATAGTGTAGCATGGTACAAACACACCTACTATGTACATGTATGTGGTCCTAAGCAGCGCTATACAGACAGTAACAGACCACATATGCCCTCTACTGGGAAAAAAAAATGAGCAAAGTTTGCACTGTGTGAATTAAATGCAATGCAAAAAAATTTTGTTGCAGAATTTAGAATCTGGACACATGTCATGTGTTAAGAAAAATTAAAACCGACATCTGAAATGTTGTGTCCTTCTTAATTTTCATAACATATAATATTTAACAGGTCATAGACTAGCCATATCAAAGCAACATCTATAATATACAGTAATACGCTAAGAT